GCGGTCAATATGGAGCGACCTGGCGATCGAGGAGCCGCCGATCGTTCAAGGCTGAACGATCCACGCGGTGTCAGAAACCAACGCCGAGGTCGACACGACACGAACGCAAACACACGGCGGGGGGTCCTCGAATATCAGACCACGGCCAATCGGACATTTGTTTGCTTTTCCCAGTAGGGAGGGGAGGTGCCTGGCGCTTTCACCGAGGGCAAGGTCAGCGAGGAACACTTCGCCGCAATAAGGCGTGCGAGCGCGCCCGGCATCATCGTGGACAGCGAGGCGCGCGGTCCTCTGGTGGGGCGCGGCTTGTGTCCTTCGCTGCGTTGTGATTATCCGTCGGTCGTTGAAAGTCTGTGTTTTTGAATGCCCAGAGTCCAATATACTCTAGGCGCCTGCCTAGAATCGAGTGGTGTTTGCCTCGTCCTTCCCGCTCCCTCTAGACCGCCTGCCTACTTCATATGTCTACCCGCTTCTTCCGATCGATGGGTAGGTCGTTGCGTTGGGAAATGCGCACCGATCGAATTACGTTAAACATGATGGCCCTGGCGTCTTCGCGTCGTCATGACAAATAAAGTTATGTTGTATACATATACACGCACAAACACACTTGCACATAAACCCATGCCGAGAACAAATATGTGTACATGTTTCCCCAATCAGTGCTTGCACTGAAGGGGTCCTAGCGGAGATTGAAAGATTTGGCGACAGTGCCAGGCCGATTTCGGTGGGTGGCCGGGTTCCCGGGTTCCCAGTTCCAGGTTCCCGGGTTCTCGGTTCCGGGTTCCGGGCCGAGTTCGGTGGGCGGCGGGGCTCCCGGTTTCCCAGGTTCTTGGTTGATTATGTTGTCGCTCGGTCTTGCAATCAATCTCATGACCCACCTCTCTATCGATCTTTCGATCGATCTCACAATCCATGTCCTTGTCGATCTCACAATCGATGCATTATCGATCTCTCACAATCGATCTCTGTCTATATAGATATATATATATATATGTATAGAAAGAGAGATCGCACGAGCGATCTCACGATCGATCTCACTATCGATCTCAATGAATCGATTTCACTATCGGTCGCACGATCGACCATACAATCGACCTCACTATCGATCCCACTATCGATCTCAGAATGGATCTATGTGGGGTACTTATCTGATGTATTTTACATACATAGATACATGCATGCATGCATACATGCATACATACATACATACATGCATGCATGCACGCATGCATGCATGCATATACACCTGCGCACATGCACAACTACTTACACTTGTACAGACAGACAGACAGACAGACAGACAGACAGACACACAGACAGACAGACAGACAGAAAGGCAAAGCCATACACTCACATAGATACATACATACAGCCATGCATACATACATGAATCTGTACGTGCATGCATGCATACATGCATGCATGCATACATACATACACACATAAATTCAGGCAGGCAGGCAGGCAGGCATACATACAGACAGACAGACAGACAGATCGAAGACGCCTACGGCGAATCACCGCCGCGCCCTACCTTTGCTGAAGCGCCTATGTGGCCGAACGTTGAGGCCAGACCTGCCAAGCTATCGGACCATGTGTTCCCCGAATCGGTTTGGAAAGCCTTCGGGGAACACGTGGGCATCTTGAAGATGATATTGGCCGCCTGGAGGCCCTTTTGACCCTGTCGGGCCTTCTTGGAGGACATCTTGGAGGGCTCTTGGGCCGTCTGCGAGGCCATCTTGGGCGTCTTGGAGGCCTCTTGGGCTGTCTTGGTGCCCTCTTGGGGCCGTCTTGGGGACCTTTTGGGCCGTCATGGGGCCATCTTGGAGGCCTCGTAGGCGATCTTGGGGCGATCTTTGGGGCCTCTTGGGCCATCTTGAGCCGTCGGGACGCCGAGAAGAAGCAAATGCCAAAATCTTTCAGAAACTTTAGGAAAATCCACGATTTGGGTCTCTTCAGGCCCTCACGGAGAACCTCTTGGAGGCCTCTTGGGCCGTCTTGGAGGCCTTTTGGGGGCTTCTTGGGCCGTCTTGGGGAATACTGAGGCCAGTTTAGGGCGTCTTAGATGCATCTTCGGCCGTCTTGGAGGCATCTTGGGGTCATCTTAGCCGTCTTGGAGGCTATCGTGGTCGCCTTGGAGGCCTCTTGGGGGCCTTTTGGGCCGTCAAGGAGCCCTCTTGGAGGCCTCTCGGGCAATCTTGGGGGCCTCTTGGGCTGTCTTGATCAGTCGGAAGACCGAGAAGACGCAAATTCCAAAATCCTTCAAAAACCTAAAATCAATGATTTTGGTCTCTTCGGGCCCTCCTGGAGGACCTTTTGGAGGCCTCTTGGGCCGTCTTGGAGGCGTCTTGAGGGCGAACTTAGGGTTATCTTTGACTCTCTTAGGCCGTCTTGGAGGCCGTCTTCTTGGACCATCTTCGGCGGACTTGGAGGCCATCTGGGACCATCTTGGAGGCCATCTTGGGCCAACGTGGCCATCTTGGAGGCCATCCTGAGCCGTCTTGGAGGATCTTTCCGGGAATTGAGCTCCTGGAAGATCGTCCCGGGACCCCGGCGGGACAGGCCGAAGCCCCTGGGGGAGTTCTTTTGGAAAAGAACCAAAGACAAAACCGAAACAATTTGGCACGCCAGGCACCCTTGTGGCAAGCCGACAGGGGGGCGGCGGAGATGGAATGGCCTTCGGCCCATCCCGCCACCGTGCCCAGGATGCTGGTATGAAGCCTACTGGATGCTCGTTGGGATCTCGTGGGAGGCCTCCCGGGGGCCTCTTGGAGGCAGTTCTGAAGCCTCCGTGGGGCCGTTTTGGATCCTCTTGGGGGCCTCCTGCGCGCCTCTTGGGGCCTCCTGGGGCCCCCTTGGGGCGGAAGGCTCGGATGTTCGCTCGTGTTCCTCTTGGGCCCCTTTGGGGGGCCGTCTTGGGACCCTCTTTCAGCGAGCGAAGAATGGTATAAAATAAACGTTTTCGCCGTCGGGGACACCTGCCCCTGGGCGGCTGGGAAGTTTATATCCCTACGGTGCCACCGTAAGGGTATAAACTTCCCAGCCGCCCAGGGGCAGGTGTCCCCGACGGCGAAAAAAAAATGTTATACCGTTCCTCGCCCGGCCGTGTTGGTCGCCTTTTGGGCCGCCTTGTGGCGCTCTTAGGCCGCCTCGGGGCCTTCGTGGAGGCCTCTTGGGCCGTCTTGGGGGCCTCTTGGGCCGTTCTGGAGCGTCGGAAAGCCGAAAAAAGCGAGAACGCCAAAATCGCTCAAATAAGTGAGGGGAATTACTAATGTTTACCTCCTGGGGCCCTCTGGGGAGGCCTCTTGGACCGTCTTGGGGCCGTCCTGGGCGTCTTCGAGCGATCGTTCGACGTCTAGGGGCCCTCCTGGACCGTCTTGGGGGCCTCCTGGAGCCCTCTTGGCCTGTCTTCGGGCCCTCTTTGGCGACAAAGTTATGCGGTAAGATGACCCGGAGCCCAAGGGGCACGCGGAAAGCTCACAAACATGTGAGAATTTGGGGCCCAGGCCCCTTAAGGAACTCCTCAGGACTGAGGACACGCCCACTCCGTGCCCAGCGGCAGGGTGGCGGATATAAAGAACACACCCACACACAACGTAAAATTGCGGAGGGCTTCTGGCGGCATTTGCCGAAGTTTGGGACCGTCCAGCACTTTCCAGAATTGAAGACCAGTCCCCGGGAAGGCGTCGAGACCTCTGGGGATCCACGCTGTGAGAAAGAACCAGGTGTCCGTTGAACTTTTTTGGTCCGCTCACCCGCCCTGTTCTAAAATGTTGCTTTTTTATTGCTCGAGAGGCTTACGCCATTCCGCCGACCCTCAGAATAGCAGATGTGCGGTTTTTATACCGTTTGTACTGCTTGTCGCATCCAGTCGTGTTGCTTGCGTATAGTCGTTGCTGATTCGTCCTCCTTTTCCTCCGCGTTTTGGGTGCCTCTTGGAGGCCTCAGGGGCGGCCTCTTGGGAGCCTTTTGAAGGCTCCTGGGGCCTTTGGGGGACGCTCTGGGGGGCTTCCTGGGAGCCTCTTTGGCGCATGCTGTGGGTCTTGGGGGCCATCTTGTCAGGGAGGGCTCTCAGGCCCTTGCGAGTCCCCTTCTGGGGCCTATCTTGGGCCCCTCTTGAGCCCGTCTTGGGCCCGTCTCGGGGGCCTATCGGGCCGCCTTGGGCTTCCAGAAACCAGAACAGGCGAGAACGCGAAAGTCATTCAGAAGAAACAAATGGGAAATCTATCAGACGTGCCCTTTGATACCCTCTTAGCCGTCTTGAGGTTATCTTGGGTGTTCTTGAGACCTCTCTAGCGTGTTGAAGCGACTCTTGAGCCATCTTAGACAGCATGTTGGGCATCTTGGAGGCCACACACGGTGCATTTAGAGGTTTTGAGGGCCCCGGAGGTGAGTTGGGGAGTTCGGCGCCCCATCCACCCCGATCCTTTTCTTCATATGGCTTGAGAAGACCCCCAGGGAGGGGAAGAGGGGGCGGGGGACAGCCAAAGATCTGAGACGCCTTTCCGCTTAACCTTTCTGCCCCCCCCCTGTTCTAAACCTTGTGCGTGTTATCATTCCTTCCCCGGGGATGCCGAATTGAGGGGACCTGGGCAGTGTGGCACGCCAGCACATCCCGGTGCAAGCCGCCGAGAGCGCAAGGGCCACCTGCGAGAGTTCTTGTGACGCGTGCCACGCGTGGAGATAAAAAAAATGCCCTCACCTCACTGTATTATTCCTCGTCTACGTCCGCAGCACCTCGGGCTCAGAGTCTCGGCGGCTCGCGCAGCCGATCTCAAAGAAAGGTACGCACGTGTGTCTCGGGCAGGTCCTGTCGGCGGCGAGAGGGGGCGGGGAAGTGAGAAGGAGAAGGCCTTCTCAGAGGGCGGCGGGGCCTTCTGAGAGGTTTCTTCTGTCTTCGGGGAAGGCTTCGAAACTTTCTCAGAAGGCCCAGGGACTTCGAGCCTTCGGAGAAGGCCCGCCCCCTCTCACTTCCCCCCTTGCTCGCCGCCGATCCTGTCATGGCCCTGCGCCTCCTCGCCGCGCTCAGCCTCGCGGTGCCCGTGGCCGCCGAGCGCGCGTGGGCGCGGCGCTCGGGGTCGCAGTACGTGGGGCTGGACGACGGCACTCGAAGAGGGAAAAAATTGCATTCGCAAGAAGAGGCGGCGAATCTCGGGGGCGGCCAAGAGGGAGATGATGACTGAGGGGGAGTGGCCCTCATGGCCGGGGACATTTTATCCCCCCAGATGTCATGGCCCCTCTTCTTATTTCAATACGTCCATTGGCCCCCCATGGGCCGCGCGCATGCCTCGGGCCATGATTTGCGAACCCCCCTCTTGGACGCCCCCCCTCCTGAACGCCCTCGAGAATCATCATGACATGATGATGTTATGAATACGATGACTTTGAATACCACGCATAAAGATAGGGAAAATACTCGGGTCACGAAGAAGAAACAACTGCATTCGAAAAGTAAGACGAATCATCGTAAGAATGAAGACGAACCGACTAAACATAAACTTTCCAAGCTCCGCCCACATATCTTCAATCTGCGCCTGGGTTCCCCTTGGCGGCGCCTCCGGCGCCGCCTCTGGCGCGCTCCGAGCGCCAGGGAGGGGGCCCAGCGCCGATCCAAGAGATCTGCGCTGAGCTCCAGGAGGCTTATCTCTGTGAAATGTTGTGTTCTTCTAGGCACCGCCTCCGTCGCATTCGTTTCCGAGGCCGACTTAGCGAACGCCACGGCCACGATGACGGAGCGGCTGAGGCGGATGAAGGAGGCCATGGACGCCAAGCTCGCTTCGAGCTTCGAAGTCGTGGACGGGAGGCTTGCGCAGGCCAGGTTGGCCGCCCAGGACGAGGTGAAGGAGTTCATCGCGGACGCGCAAAGGATTGATTCTCTCCATGGTACACGAGCACTCTCTCCCTAGTGCGAATGGGAAACACATCGACACAATAACATCAATAGTGCACAGTTGGCAAGCCAACACAAACCAAAAGCACAAGCACAGCGCGTAATGTGGACCGATTGGAAGCAACCCGAAATAAAGTGCAACCAGACGAACTCAGAATACTAGTAATTCGCATCGTAATTAGCGTAATGCCTTCCTACACTAGTTATAGCCAGCGCACCTCGGTTTACAGGGAGGCCACGAGACCAGGCTCGGAGCACACTGCTAGCGCACGATGCACAGCATTCATCCGCTCTTCGTGGAAAGAAACTTGCGCGTCGCATCGCGCAGGGTGCGCGACTCGACGCTATTGCTTAACCCATGGCTCTACAGCACGAGCGGGTGCGTGCGAACGCGCATGCTCGCGAGCAGGAATAAGGCGAGCGAGGTGGTGCCTTGGGATTTCGTCCCACGCAGGCCGTCGTCGTTGCTTGAAGGGGTCGTGGCCTCTGGAGCGCGGGGCCATGCCGTAGGCACATCACACAAGAGAGGGGCCTGCTGGCAGGTGCCCCGAAGGCATGTCTCATCCCTCCATGGCCCATGGGACCCACAGAAGCCCGGGGGCATCCTGGAACCCTCAAAGACCGACGAATAACGATCTCCATGATTTCTTTAGCAAGATTTCGTATCGTGTGCGTCTACTGTGGCTTCGTGGGTGCGGACCTGGCGTTTGTTCCCTAGACCCTCGTGTGCTGTCGGGTCCTCGTGTCTCTCTCCTCTCCATTGCGCCTCGCGTCTCCATCCTCTGCATTCTCCCCCTCCCTGCGAGCGCTGCTGCGCTGTCTACAGTGTGCTGGTGGTTCGCTGCTGCCCCTGCCAGCCGTTGCCCCCTTGTGCTGTTTCCCAAGTGGGGCGGGGTCGAGGAAGGGGAGGAGAAGGATAAGGAGGAGGAGGAGGAGGAGGAGGAGGAGGAGCAAAGGGGGAGGAGTACGAGGAGGAGGAGGAGGAGGAGGAGGAGGAGGAGGAGGAGGAGGAGAAGGAGGCGGAGGCGGAGAAGGAGGACGACGGGTACCGGACGACTACCGATAATCGAGGAGGAGGAGGAGGAGAAGGAGGAGGAGGAGGAGGAGGAAGAGACGGAGGAGGAGGAGGAGGAGGAGCAGGAGGAGGAGGGATCGAGGAATTGAGGATCGAGCAGAGGATGAGGAGGAGTAGGAGGAAATGGAAGAAGAGGAGCATCGAGGATTGATCGGGGGGACCAGGAGAAGGAGGAGGAGGAGCAAGAGGAATTGAGGATCGAGAACCGAGGACATTTGTCGAGGATGAGGGATCGAGGGTCGATGATCCATGAGGCGGAGGATGGGGGATCGACCCTCCTCCTCCCCCACCCCATGCTCTGGCCTCCTCCTTCTCTATGCTCGATCCCCTCTCTCGATCCTCGATCCTCTATCCATCTCCCTACCCCTCCTTCTCGATCCTTCCTCCTCGATCCCTCCTCCTCCTCCTCGATCCACAATCCTCGATCCATCCACCTTGATCCTCGAACCTCTAACCCTCCTCCTGATCCTACCCCTCCTCCTCCTCCTCCTTCTCCTCCTCTTCCTGCTCCCTCTCCTCCTCCTCCTCCTCCTCCTCCTCCTCCTCCTCCTCCTCCTCCTCTTCCTGCTCCTCCTCCTCCTTCTTCTTCTTCTCCTCCTCCTCCCCCTCTTCCTCCCCCTCTTCTATCTTCGATCCACCACGAAGAACGGCTACTCATGACCAGGATTGTTGAACTGTTTTGTTGTTCTTGGCCATGTTGCGACTCCCAGGCCGTCCTAGTAGACAAATAATCCAGCGTGCACCCCTGCACGGAATCCAAGCGTGAAGCAGTTCGGGCTTGACTTCTTCGTCGAAGTCACCAAGAAAGAGTTCTTGGTAAAGCTCATGCGGCACGTCTCTGCACGACCAACGATGAAACACGAGCAGACCTGCAATGCAAACACCAGCATGATGCCATCACGTAGACCCCGAACGGTTCACCCGCGGGGAACTCGCAGAGAGAGAGCCGAACGATTCGGGAGGGGAAATCGAACAACTCCGGGGGGATGAACGACTCTGAGGGGAAATTGAACGACTCGGAGGGGGAACCGATCGACTCGGAGTTGGAACCAATCGATTCGAACGGCTTCGAGACGATCGTTCCCCCCTCCGAGTTGTTCAGTTCCTTATCCGAGTCATTCGGTTCCCCCTCCGAGTCGTTTGCGAGTCGCTCAGTCCCCCCGTCTGAGTCGCTCAGTTCAACTCGGTGGGGGAACCGAACGACTCGGAGGTGGGCCGAACGACTCGGAGGGGAACCGAACGACCCGCAGTCGGGGGCGAATGATTCGAGGGGGGAACCAAAAGATTCGGACTGGGAACCGAAGGACTCGGGGATGGGCGAGACGCACGACCTGTTTTCGGAACCGAACGACTCGGCGTGGAGTCGAACGAACGGTTCGCAGGGGGACAGAAAGGCTCGGAGCAGGAACGGCAGAGTCGTTCGGCTTCCCCTCGGGATCGTGAGGTTCCCCCTCCCCGGGCCGAGCCGAACGGCTCCCGTAGGGGGGCCAGCGAGCAGGGCTCTCACGAGGGCCGTGCAGGTGGTGTCGTGCAGGAGAGGCCCCTCCGCGGCTCGATCCCGGGGCACCCGGGCCAGCAAGGCGGGAAGTTTGGTGGTCCCCAAACGTGGTAGTGAGAACACCCGGTGGTGAGGTTGGGGCGATTTGGGTAATGGTTTTCGAGCGCTGGCTGGCCCAGGAAACGCAAAACCTCGTGGCGACCGCGTGTCCCCAGACCCGGTGGCGACCCAGAATTATTTGTTTGGGGAATCGGGTTCATCACCGGGTGTCTCACCACCTGGTTTGGAGACCACCAAGAAGCTGCAGGGAAACTTCGGGGAAGCTGAGCCGCGTCCTTGGCATCGCTCGGGCGTGTGCATGGTTTCCTCGGCGAGGGCCATCGAGGAGCCTCCTGGATGATCGAGCCCCCCCCCCCCCCAAAAAAAAAAACACGCACGAAAAACCGAAGAGCGCACACAGACGGGACGCCCGAGCGATGGCAAAGTGTGAGGCCAAGAAACACGCACGAGACCGAAGAACGCACACAGACTGGACGCCCGAGCGATGGCAGAGTGTGAGGCCGAGCCGCAGAGGGCAGAGGAGGCCGCGCACCCACGGCCCGGCCCCAGGACTTGTTCTGGTCCGCGGCCGCAGGAGGGAATCGGGCGGCGGTGTCGAGCAGCGGCGGGGCGCGCATAGGGGCACGGCGAGGCACACGAGGAAGAGGGAGGGCGCGAGGCGAGGAGGAGGAGGAGGAGGAGCAGGAGGAGGAGGAGGAGGAGGAGCAGGAGGAGGAGGAGGCGGAGGAGGAGGAGGAGGAGGAGGCGGAGGAGGAGGAGGAGGAGGAGGAGGGGGACCCGCGAGGCACAAAGGAAGAGGGAGGGCGCGAGGCGAGGAGGGGCCGGAGAGAGGCCGAAGGGCCGAGGGAGCCGCACTCGGGCCACGCAAGGCTTCGTACAGTCGGGGGCTTGACCTAAGGGACCCAAAATGAGGAGCGAGGCCCCTTTTTTCCATGGGTTAAACCTCGATCTCCGATCGAAAACAGAAGGAAAACCTGAGGCAAGCTGCGAAACACTTGAGGAACGCGGAGCCCCTCTCCAACGAAAAGGGTTCTTTCTTCAGGGCCCCGACTGTATGCGTGCCGAGTTGCGTACCCACAGTCCGACCGCAGGACTCGGGGCCGGTGTGGCAGGCAGCTCCGGGGCTCGCGTCGCCTGCTCTGGCATTTGGGCGGGCCCCGGGGTCGTCGCCAGAGCCATGAGGCCACGGGAGAGCACGGGCCCTGACATCCTCCGAGCTGATTTCCTCAATCCGCGCCCCCAGAGGTCCCGACACCTGCCCCGGGTGCACGGGGCCAGCGCTTCACGGGGCAGGGCACGGAAGGACCTTTCGGTGCGGGACCCGCTGCTCCAACCCACAAAACGGGTGGACGAACATAGATCGTCGGAGATCCGGATGCTGTGAGGGGAGGCGTCGCGTTCTTTGTGTGTGTCTTGCTCGTGCGCGGAAGGGGGGAAGGATGGGAAGACCTTGAGATCCGACGTAGCAACAAAAAACAAAAAAATCACGCCCAGAGCCCCAGACCCCCTCTTTCTGCTGCACTTCTCGAGCTGGGTCGACGTGTGAGGGTCTCGGGGCCCGAAAACGGGCGAAAACGCCCAGCTCGAAATAATCGAGACGCCAGGATCTCAGGGGAAAGCACCCAGCAAAGGAAGCTCGAGTCGATGCAGCTCCAGGAGCAGCGCCTGCGCCTGGCGGTGCGCCACGGGGCGCACGGCAGGTGCTGCTGCGCGGCCCCGTCGCGGGCGCGCTGCGAGTGGGTCGACTTCAGTCTGCTGAGCGGCTACGCCCACTCCTGCCCGGCCGAGAGCGGGCAGGAGTCGTCTAGTAAAACGACGCGAAGATCGGGACAAAATCGGATCGGGATAACTCGAAATCTCTGAGAATCGGCGGGTTTGGAGGATGTATTGGGCGCCGCGGCCGCTCCAGAGCGTTCCGGAACGCTCTGAGAGCGCTCCGGAACGCTCTGGAGCGATTTATCCCGATCCTAGCCCTGTTTTATCTAGGTCTCCCAGATGAGGACACGGCAGATGGAGTCGGAGGATCGCGCCGCATCGCTGATGCATCGGCGATGCGGCTCGATGTGGAGCCCCGTTTTCTCCACGCCGACAGCACCAATGCATCGCCGAAGTCGCCGATACATCGCCGACGCATCGGCAGTGCATCGGCGATGCAGCGCGATCCTCCGACACCATCTACTCGGACCCCATTTGGAAGGTCTCTAACCTGGGTGGGGCTAGGACCAGGATAGATCGTTCCAGCGCGTCCTGGAACTTGGGGCCGGCTTGGGATCTGATGTGGCCCAGCATTGATTCGCGCGAGCAGAAAGGGTGAGCATTGGGATAACCGCGGAGGGGGGGCTAAGGGGATAGGGGGCCTATAAGCGGGTGCCCAGGTGGTTACATGTGGCCCAGCCTTGCTTACAAGTGAGTTACAAGTATCCCAATTAGCTTTGGGGGGTTTGACAGGTTCGCTCAGTGGGCGGAGCCCACTTAGCCCGGATCGTTATCCCCAGTAGTTCACCTGGGGCATCTGTTGACCACTCATAAGCCAATTTGGGCCAAGTATAACCACCTTGGCATCAATTGATAGCCCTCCCATCCCCTTAACAACGCCCGCGGTTATCCCAGTAGGACCAGGATAAATCGTTACAGAGCGTTCCGGAATTTGGAGCCGCCTGGGGGTCTGAGGTGTCCCAGCGATGGTTCCGGCGAGCAGGGAAAGGAGGGAAAGGCTCGAGATTCTGGGTTCTGGATGGTTTCTTGCCTTTTTCGGCCTCCGAAGGCCATATTCGGGCCTCGGGACCGTCAAAAATGGATCTGTGGTGAAAACTGCACCAGACGGACCCTGGGAGGGGCCTGGGCATAGATTTGGAGCGGATTTGCCCTTATCCCCCTTTCTTCACTGATTGTGAAGGCCTTACGGCCAGTGCCGCCGACCCAGAAGGACGACGACGACGACCACCACGACAACGACGACCACGGCGACGACTATGACGACCACGGCGACGACCACCACGACCACGCCGACAACGACAACGACGAGCTGATGACCCTGCCACAGGCTCGGAACATGGGGCGGGCGGTGGATGGAGGAGGAGGAGGAGGAGGAGGAGGAGGAGGAGGAGGAAAGGGAGAAGGAGTGTAAACCCAAGACTCGTCAACAATATTGGGATAAACCCTGCCAACCTCATTCTTCACAGGCCCCATACAAGGGTTCATTTCCACGTAGGGCCCTACCTCGTTGGGAGACGAGCGTTTGAGGACCCTGAAGCGTGTCAAAACACCATTCTCGGGACTCCAACGCCACGAATCAACATGACTGTTGCGTCTTGACGACCCGAATCGTACCAGAACGCCATTCCTGCGATTTCAACACCGCGAAGCAACGTAACTGTTGTGCCCTCACAATCCTCAGCCTCCCCGAAACACCATCTCTCGCAGGTTGACCATGGGAATACGTGAAAGTCTTACAATTGTTTCGAACGAGTGTGCACGGCTCTAGGGCGAGAGCCACGTTTTGAAAACGACCCGCCCTTAACCCGCGAAAGTCGTACAAAGTGTTCAAACGAATTTGCGCGGCGCTACAGCGAAAGCCACTTTTTGAAAACGACCCGCCCTCAATCCGTGGAACTCCTGCATGTTCAAAAACGAATGCGCGCGACTCTACGGCGAGAACCACATTTTGAAAACCACCCGCCCTCTTTTCGTGAAATTGTTGCCAACGTTTAATCTTAATGGTCGTAGATGGTGAGGACGTCTCAGGCGAAACGCCCGGCCCTTTTTCGACCGGCCTCGTGGTGCGACAGGAAGGAGTCCTTTATAAGGATAAGGAGAGGAGGAGGAGGAGGAGGAGGAGGAGGAGGAGGAGGAGGAGGAGGAGGAGGAGGAGGAGGAGGAGTTGGAGTTGGAGGAGGAGGAGGAGGAGGAGGAGGAGGGAGAGAGCCTCGGCGATGGGCGTCTGGGAGGCGGAAACCGAGGGTGGAAAGCCTCCAGCGGGAGAGGGGTCACAACCTCCAGGACCCCATTTGGGACCCCCCCCCTTCCCGCGGGGCTGGGACCGGGAACGGGGCCAGTCAGGGGCCAGGGCCAGAGGGCCTTGACCAGGACGAAGGCCAAAATTGAGGCCAGGGCCCAGGCTGGGGCCAGGCCCTGAGCCAGGGCCGCGGCGGGCGTCTGGGAGGGAGGCGAAAATCGATGGGAAAAGCCCCCAGCTGGGGAAGCGTCACAACTCTCGGGACCCCCCTCGGGAACGGCCCGTCCCCCCAGGGACACCCCACAGAACCACCCCCCGCGAGACCACCCTGTGGAATCCCTTCCACGACCACCCCCCCCTGGCGGGCAAGGGACAAACGGAAGGGGCTTCCCTTCGACGTAATTGCGACTTTGTCCGATCCCCTTTGTTTGATCGATCTCAATTACGACGACGACGATTCAAAGAAGGTTGGCGTACCTACGATTCAAAGAAGGCTGGCGTATTTAGATTTTGGTTGGGCTGGCCTCGCGTCGAAGGGCCTCACACACACACACACACACACACACACACACACACACACACACACACACACACACACACACACACGCCGACTGGGTCGGCGGCTTTTCTAGGGCCCGTCCAGTTCAGGCCCCCCGGCCGCCTATAACCTGGAACATTCCCAGAGCTTTCTGGACCGCTCCAGAGCGGCCCCCGCGCCCGATACACCCTCCAGGGCTGCCAGATTTCGGAGACCCCCGAGCTATCCCAGTCAGATTTTGTCCCGGTCCTGGTTTCGATTTGCAGGACTACGTCGACCACCACACGGTCCTCTCCAAGAGCCAGGGCGAGGTTGTGACGGTGGACACCCTCATCGACTCCTGTTTGGGTTCGCAGGGCTGGCACGTCCACATCGACCACCGCGGCGACGCCCAGGAGTCGAGGCGGGATGGGATATCCAGGAAGCGCCGGCATTCTTTAGGCCTGGCGGCCGCGGCATGCAGTCGTCATCCGTCGAAGGCACAGGGCGGGATACTCAGGGAGCACCAGCACACTGTGGACCTGGCGGCCGTGGTATGCAGGGTGCGCGAGGCGAGATCGGAACTCTGTTAAACAAATAATCTAACAAACCAGCCTTCTGGGCGGGGAAAAAACGTTCGGAGGTCCGCGCAGATTTCTTGGTCGGTGTTGGAGCCCCTTGTTGGCGCCTCAGGTCCCTTGGTGCGCTCCGCGCGGCAGAGACGGAGGTTCAGTTCACGCCAGAAAGGGGGGTTCCAAAGAGGGGGGTCCGCGCGGGCCTTCGAAAGTTTGCGCTTGTGTGGCTGTTCGTTCTTCCGAGGAGGACATGCTGTCCCCTGAGACGCGCCGCCTCGTTGAGAAGCTCCACGGGCAGCCAATCGCGGACGCCCCCTGACGCAGTACGTATGGGCTCTTGCGCGCGCCGCGACGCGGGCTGCGACGTGCGATGCAGAGAGAGAATCTGCATGCTTATATATATATATATATATATATATATATATATATGAGTTGGGCCCCTGGGCGGTGCCTGTCATCTCCATGGGGTGTGCAGGGCGCCCCCGGGAGCGTCCGAAGCGTCCTGGAGGGCCCCTGGGACCGCCAGGAACAGTTCGAGACCGCCCAAGACGGCCCGCGAGCGCTCCAAGACGCGCATAGATAGCCTCAGGAATGGCCTGGAAGGCCCGAAGACGTTCCAAGAGAGCTCCATGAGGCCCCGAAGGCATCCCAAGAGGCCTCCCAAGAGAGCCCCGACAAGCCAAAATCGTTGATTTGTATTGTTTTAGAGGTTTTTGGCTTTCTCGCTTTTTCGGGGTTCCGACGCTCCAAGACCGTCCAAAAGTCTCCGAAAACCACTCCAAGACGGCCGAAGAAGCCCCCAAGACCGCCCCAAGACGGCCCAAGAGACCCCCCAAATCGTCCCATGACGGCCCAGGAGAGCCCCAAGATGGCCCAGGAGCCGCCCAAGACGGTTCCAGGAGAGCCCCAACAGGGCTTCAAGACTGCCTAAACGAGCCCAGCGGTCCCCAAGAGGGCCCCGCCAGGCCCCAAGAGGCCCCGAAGAGGCCCCCAAGAGCCTCCCCGGAGGCCCCCAGAGGCCCCCAAGAGGCCCAACAATTGCCCTGAGCGCGCCCCAAGACGCCTCCAGGAGAGCCCAACAGGCCTCCGAGAGGCCCCCAAGAGGCCCACTGGAGGCCCTCAGGAGGTCGTCCCCGTCATGTTCCCGGAAGGCGGTCCGGGAACATGATTCCGCGCCTTGGAGGAGTTTTCTGCGCTTTCCGAGGCGCCTTCCGAGGCGCCTTGGACGACGTACGTATGTTTCTATCGATTGTCCTTCTCCTGTGTACACAATCCGACATGTCTTGCGTATGTTTTTATTATATATATATTATATATATATATATATATATATAATATATATATATATATATAACTCATATCGTCTGTTAAGAAACTCACTTTTTTGAGCTGGGTCTCAGAATTTCTTAAAATAAAATAGGAAATTCAAAAAAGCTGGGACCGATTTCTTAAGCTGGGACCGATTCCTTAAGTGCTGGAGAGGGGTTGTGCTGGGGGGCAGCACAACCCCTCAGCACAACCCCCCAGCACAACCCCCCAGCACAACCCCTCAGCACAACCCCCCAGCACAACCCCTCAGCACCACCCCACTGCACAACCCCTCAGCACAACCCCTCAGCACAACCCCTCAGCACAACCCCCCAGCACCACCCCCCAGCCCAACCCCTCAGCACAACCCCTCAGCACAACCCCTCAGCACAACCCCACAGCACAACCCCTCAGCACAACCCCCCAGCACAACCCCTCAGCACAACCTCCCATCACAATCTCTCAGCACAACCCCTCAGCACAACCCCCCAGCACAACACCCCAGCACAACCCCCCAGCACAACCCACACAGCACAACCCCTCAGCACAACCCCTCAGCACAACCCCCAGCACAACCCTCAGCCCAACCCCAGCACCACAGCCCACCCCTCAGCACAACCCCCAGCAGCACAACCCCTCAGCACAACCCCAGCACAACCCCTCAGCACAACCCCCCAGCACAACCCCTCAGCAACCCCCAGCACAACCCCTCAGCACACCCCACAGCACAACCAGCACACCCCCAGCACAACCCTCAGCACAACCCCTCAGCACAACCCCCCAGCACAGCAGCACACCCCTCAGCACAACCCTCAGCACAACCCCTCAGCACAACCCCCCAGCACAACCCCCAGCACAACCCCTCAGCACAACCCCTCAGCACAACCCAGCACAACCCTCAGCACAACCCCTCAGCACAACCCTCAGCACAACCCCCCAGCACCACCCCCCAGCCCAACCCCTCAGCACAACCCCTCAGCACAACCCCCAAAACCCCACAGCACAACCCCCCAGCACAACCCCTCAGCACAACCGGTCGGCGTTTTTTAATATCTATTTTTAATATTCGGTGGAAGTCCTGCCCCCCCCCCTCCCCCCCCCTGGCGCGACTGACTGGCGTATCTGGTATCTGCGTATCTCCGTATCTGCCACTGTGGTTGGCGCGCGAGCGGCCCGCCCCCCCCCCATGGCGCCTGTCAGGAAATCTCGGGTATCTCGCTGGTGGTTGTGCTGGTGGCGGTTGTGCTGCTGGTGGTTGTGCTGGTTGTTGCGCTGGTGGTAGTGCTGGTCGTCGTGCTGGTGGTTGTGCTGGTGGCGGTTGTGCTGCTGGTGGTTGTGCCGGTGGTTGTGCTGGTGGTTGTGCTGGTGGTTGTGCCGGTGGCTGTGCTGGTGGTTGTGCTGGTGGTTGTGCGGGCGATTGTGCTGCTGGCGGGTGCGCTGGTGGTTGTGATGGTGGTTGTGCTGCTGCTGGTGGTTATGAGGGTGGTTGTGCTGGTCGTGTTTTGCTGGTGGTTGTGCTGGAGGTTGTGCTGGAGGTAGTGCTGGAGGTTGTGCGGGAGGTTGTGGTGGAGGTTGTGGTGGAGGTGGTGCTTGAGGTTGCGCTGGAGGTTGTTCTGGAGGTTGTGCGGGAGGTTGTGCGGGAGGTTGTGCAGGAGGTTGTGCTGGAGGTTGTGCTGGAGGTTGTGCTGGGGGTCGTGCTGGAGGTTGTGTTGGAGGTTGTGCTGGCAGTTGTGCTGGAGGTTGTGCTGGAGGTGGTGCTGGAAGTGGTGCTGGAGGTTGTGCTGGAGGTCGTGCTGGAGGTTGTGCTGGAGGTTGTGCTGGAGGTTGTGCTGGAGGTTGTGCTAGAGGTTGTGCTGGAGGTTGTGCTGGAGGTTGTGCTGGAGGTCGTGCTGGAGGTTGTGCCGGTGGTCGTGCGGGAGGTTGTGCGGGAGGTTGTGCTGGAGGTGGTTGTGCTGGAGGTTGTGCTGGAGGTTGTCCAGGTCCAGGGGGCCGAAGGGGAAGAAGGGAAGATGGAAGAGGAAACTCTCTAAACCACCTACGCCCAGAGGGCTGGTGGGATTTAAGTCGGATCCGGTCGAGACACCTTTCGCTGAGTGAATACAATAACGGCGGGAGGGTGCTGCGGTGATAGAAGTTACTTCCGGCCGAGGGGCCCACTTCAGCCACACACCCAGGGACAGTGAATGACCGTTTGGAACCCCTCACGACCTCCAGCACTACCTCCAGCACAACCTCCAGCATAACCTCACAATCTCCAGCGCAACCTCCAGCACAATCTCCAGCACAACCTCCATCGCAACCACCAGCACAACCTCCAGCACAACCTCCAGCACAACCTCCAGCACAACCTCCAGAACAACCTCCAGCACAACCTCCAGCACAACCTCCAGCACAACCTCCAGCACAACCTCCAGCACAACCTCCAGCACAACCTCCAGCACAACCTCCAGCACAACCTCCAGCACAACCTCCAGCACAACCTCCAGCACAACCTCAGCAGCACAACCTCCAGCACAACTCCAGCACAACCTCCAGCACAACCTCCAGCACAACCTCCAGCACAACCTCCACAGCACAACCTCCAGCACAACCTCCAGCACAACCTCCTGCACAACCTCCAGCACAACCTCCAGCACAACCTCCAGCACAACCTCAGCACAACCTCCAGCACAACCTCCAGCACAACCACCAGCACAATCCCAGCACAACCTCCAGCACAACCTCCAGCACACCTCGCACAACCTCCAGCAACCACCTCCAGCACAACCTCCAGCACAACCTCCTGCACAACCTCCAGCACAACCTCCAGCACCACCTCCAGCACAACCTTCAGCACAACCTCCAGCACAACCTCCAGCACATCCTCCAGCACAACCTCCAGCACAACCGCCAGCACAACCTCCAGCACAACCACCAGCACAATCTCCAGCACAACCTCCAGCACAACCTCCACCACAACCTCCAGCACAACCTCCTGCACAACCTCCAACACAACCTCCAGCACAACCTCCAGCACAACCTCCAGCACAACCGCCAGCACAACCTCCAGCAACCTCCAGCACAACCTCCAGCACGACCTCCAGCACGACCTCCAGCACAACCTCCAGCGCATCCTCCAGCACAACCTCCAGCACAACCTGCAGCACAACCACCAGCACAACCTCCAGCACAACCTCCAGCACAACCTCCAGCACAACCTCCAGCACGACCTCCAGCACAACCTAGGGCTGTAGGGCTATAGTGCTATAGGGATATAGGGCTATCGGGCTATAAGGCTATAAAGCTATAGGGCTATAGGGCTACTGGGCACCTGGGCACCCGGGCACCCGGGCACCCGGGCGTGCCGCCGAAATCGGCGGCCCACCTCACCTAACCATATGAATCCGCTAGGACCCCTACAGAGGCAAGCTCTGATTGGGGATACCAGCCTGATCGGACAATGTGATGGTGTAGTGATCCTGGATAGAGGACCTCGCAGTGGGCAGCTGGTCGACGTAGAACACAGGGCCGACTGCGCAAACATTCGCGCGCAGGCTGCCCGCGTAAGGTCGCGCGTAAGCGCCTTCTTTTCGACGTGGTGTGTCGCGTTGGCTTCACGCGAAAGCCTCCGCGCAGGATCACTATGTCGTGCGTGAGACCCCTTCCTTGCTTTCCGCAGTTCATGCGGACCTTCACCGAGCAGTATGGACCTCACCCATGATCTGCATAAACATAAACTTTAGGAGGTCCGCGCAGATTTCTTGGGTCGGCGCTGGACCCTTCTCCCTGGCGCGTGGAGCGCGCGAGGGGCGGGATGTCCAGCGCGGGGTCAAGGAATCCGCGCGGACCTCTGACAGTTTGTGTGTTATGCAGTTTTTTGTTGTCCGATTCTTGGCACTCGGTCGGCCCATCCTGGTGCTGGCATTCGGCCCCTCTCAGCGATGAATGGGCGAGATTGGGGGTCGGTGCATCACACCCTGAGCCTGTCCCCGTCCCTGGTGGTTTTCGGGCCCTAACTGAGCTCTCAGGCGG